AGAGGCTGTGATGGGACACTTTTGGTCACTCCTGTTTTCATTAGCACTAGGAGATTAAAGGAGCTGACCATTGCTCAGTGTGAGAAACTCAGTTCTGCTGCTGTCACTGCCAGTTTTCACCCCTCCAACACCTTCTGAAATCTCCATCCTATTTAGCCATAATCCAACTAACCCACCCCATTCCAGAGAAGTCATTATTTAAGTTATTCCTGTATCAGGAGCTCACAGAGGTGTAGAGGGCTGAGCCCCAGACATATCTGTCGTGCCTATGCCAATGCTTTGACAGGCTGCTCTCTTGTTCACAGCACAAAGCTGGGATGTGGCACTTTGTGCTCTTACAGCTGTGCAGCTGCAGGAGCACTCTTCAATGTCTCCTGTCTGAAAAACGAGATGGAAGCTTATATTTACTTTCCTAACACTATTTCTTGCTTTTTTGCTCCATCTCTGCAGCAACAGAAACACCACTCTCCCTCCTCCTGGCAGGCTGCTCTACAAGCTTGCTTTTCCCTTGCTACCCTTTTGCAGCCACACTGAAACAGCTGTCTTGAGGTTTTTCTGTTCTTCCCTTGGTCTTGATATACCTGATAAAGCTGTTTCAACTTCTACCACCCAGACTGCAGTCTTGAAGTATTAACTTCATTGCTTCTTTTCAAGCAAAATTTCCTGGGGGCAATTTCAGAATCTTTGGGTGAAGAAATCTGGGGGAGAAAGGCATGGAGCAAGCTTTTTGTAGTTTGAGATCTCCATCTCCATTTATCCCTGGGCAGGGGAACATAAAATAAAACTCTTCTCCTCTGAACTTTAACAGGCAAAAATGTATTTTGAGATATTTTTATGTTTTACTGTTGTCTTAAAAAAGAACTTATGGGAATTTATCGGTCCCAATCAGACCAAATTTAATATTTCTGCTCATTATATGATAAAATGCCAAAATCTGACAAGCATTTTGAAGAAGGCCATTCATGTGGTGCTTTTAACTGTTTATGGAAGTGACTTTAAATACTGTTTGAAGAAATAGATTTAGCTAGCTTGTATTTTCTCACTGGTGGATTACAGAAAGGCAACTTGTACTGTATTATTCAAGATATTAAGGTAAGCAGAAACTAGTGCATTTGAGAATTTTAATTTTTAAGTAATTGTCTTGTGGTGCCAGGAACAGTACCACCCAAGATTGTGTATCCATGAAAACTAATTTAGGTTCTTCATCATTGCAGCCTGTGATAAACTCTGTAATATTTTGTGGTTGTGTTTCATAATTTGACATTGATTTCATATTTTGGCTTATTTCTATAGTAAGAGTTCTTAATAAAGTTTCCATTGAGGCCTTTGATGGATTAAAGAACTTGAAAGTCATCTATAACTTCAGGTTGTAACAGCTTGAGTGCATGACGGGAAACAGCCTTTGAACTTCCAGCCTTATCGTTCATACCATTAATGCCTCATCTAGATGTGTTCTCATCCTATTTCTCCAGTGGAGAAATGGTCCAAGGAGCGCTGTTAGTTCTGTTAGCTGCCCGGGAGGTGTCGTGTCCAGGGATGTGCCCAGCCGTATCCCTGACGGGATTCCTGGGGGTACCCCTTCCCGAGCTCCCTGCGAGCTGCTGGAAGCGCGCGGCTGGGAAGAAGCACATGGAAAGTGAAGAAGAGGTGAAGCTGTGGCTGAGGACAGATGCGGCCCCTTGGCCGCCCCATGAGTTGCCACTGCTGTGGCTGCAGCCTGGTGGGCAGGAGCTCGCCCTGCCTGGCTGGGGTGGCCCTGTGGCCGTGATGTGACACGGCAGCCCGGCTCTCCTTGCCGGAGACACCGCCGCGGCACGGCCGGCTCCGCGCTGCCGCAGCGCTCCTGCCCAGGGCTGCG